CCTGGCTCCTCCCCTTCCTTCTTCTGGGGTCCTGTTCCCTCCCACACTCCGCCCTCTCCTCTGCTGTCTGCTCCTGTTATTTTACTCCTCCATTTTTCATTTTTCTTCTGTGCTGCCTCAGTATTTCTGCCTCCCTTCCCTCCTTTCTCAACGAATCCAAAGTAATCTTTTGCTTACGTATGCACGTGGCGGGGGCAAATATCACATATGTGAGGGCACGCATACGCGTGGAAGCTGACATTGGGTATCATCCTAAATTTTCTGCACTTATTTACTGAGGCAGGAATTGCCAACCCTGGCTAGTCCAGGGATCCTGTGTCTGGGATTAGAGATGGTCTCCACCCACACTTGCTCAGTTTTTACATGAGCTCTGGAGCTCTGGAGACTCCCATTCCAGTCTTCACCATTGTATGCCACAAAGTATCAACTAGCCATCTCTCCAGCCACAAGATTTCTTCATTTTATTCAGTCAGTTGACTTTCAAAGCCAGCTGCTGGTGTCCATTAAATGATAGTCACAGGCCAATGATGGAAATGCAAGGTAGGCAGGTTGGAGACTTTCCAGATAGGCAGGAGACTACCAAGTGTGACCCCTTGGTGTCTGGCCTTCAGTCTCCTTCCTCTCTCTCCAAACCCCTCTGTGCCCCAGTCTCATCTCTCCCCTGCTTCTCTCGTGCTGTGGAGGATCTGGGTCCATAGGGGTGGCTCTCTGTCTGTCCCATCCCCAAGTCTGTCCCGGCCCTTACAGTAGAGTCATGGTGGACAGAACTAGAAGCCCAGGGTCTTGAAACACTGTTCTGAGACAACCCTGTCTCCTCACTCTTAGGAGCCAGGAGACACTGGCAACCAGCTCTGTCACAAATCCCTCAGAGAAGCATACCCTGGGCCTCCCTGCCTCAGCCTTCTCACCTCGGAAGTGAGCTGGCAGGACCAGCGCTCCCTCCTCCTGACACCACTCCCTACATCCTAAGGTTTTCTTTCACTACCCCCCCCATGCTGGCCAGACACAAGCTGCCCCTCACCAGTCTTGAAAATACTGTCCTCCCATCAGCACTACAAAAGATTTGCTGTCTTGGATGGACTGCAATGGACAGTCAGGACAGCAACTGGGAAACATTCACAAGAAGATGGCACTGTCTCCTTGCATTTCTACCTCCCTATGACAAAAATCTCCCCAGAAACACTCCCATCCCTGTATAATTTTTGGTTTGGAGTCTCTACAGGGAGGCTGACCAGGGATGGCCAGTAAATAACTCAGTGACCAACTTAACCATCAATACTACCTTCTCCTGGGGGAGGAGCTGGATTGCAAATACTTTCCTGCATGCACCCAGATCCCCCACCTCCTGTATTCCTTTCCTCTTTCTCTGTTACTCCTTTGTTCTTCCCACTGTAGTCCATTTTCTTTCTCTAGAAATTACTACTAACCCCTGGCGCTTCCCTCTGGGTAGGCAACCTCTTAAATCACATCCATCAAATGCCTCTCCATACTGGTCAATTCCATGAAATGAGACAGCATTTTGAAGTATCAGGAATAAAGAAGGCAGCCAGGGGTGTTGGTACACACCTATGTTTCCAGCATTCAAAATGCTGATGCGTAAGATCCATGAATCCAAGGCCAGCTTGGGCGACACAGGAAGACCCTGTCTCAAACAAAGGTGTGGTGCGGGGTACACTTGGAGATGGTGGTGAGCATGTGCAGTACTCCAGGCTACAGGGCAAGACCTATGACAATAATAATTACCATCACCATATAACAAACCTTCTGGAATAATAACCAAGAAACTAAGAGTAGGTCAAAGATGTATGGAGAAAGGTGTGAGAAACACTTAAATGGAATGGTGTATGTTAGAGACAATCTTCACAGCATTTCTCTTTAATTCTTAACAATTTGGTTATTGTTATTATTATTATTTTAAATGTATAGGCTTTTTGCTTTCCTTGCATGTATGTCTGTGTACTCCAAGCATGCTTGATGCCTGAGGCCAGAAGAGAGTGTCAGATCCACAAGCCTGGAGTTACAGTTGTGAGCTGCCATGTAGGTGTTGAGTATTGAACCTGGGTCCTCAGGAAGAGCAGCCAGGGCTCAACTTCTAGGCTTTCTCTCCAGCCCCTTAACATTTTTTTTTTAAAACCATGTAGATGTATTAGCTGTTGTGGTGGTTTGAATGAGGCTCATATATTTGAATGTTTGGTCCCCGGCTGGTGGAACTCTTTGGCAAGAATTAGGAGGTGTGACCTTGTTGGAGGAGGTGTGTGACTGTGGGTGGCTGTCATGCCCCAAGTGTCTCTCTTTGCCTCCTACTTGCTGACAAAATGCTCAACTGCTGCTCCAGGGCCATGCCTGCCAGCCAGCTGCCATGATCCCTGCCATGATGGTCATGGACTCACACTCTGAAACAGTGAGCAAGACCCCAATTAAATGCTTTCTTTTGTAAGCTGCTCATAGTGTCTCTTCACAGTAATAGAAAAATTACTAAGGCAGCTATTAAAAATGTACAGAAGTTAGCATTTGTCTATGATCCTAGCACATAGGTTGAGACAATAGAATGGAAAGTTGAAGGTCAGACAGGGATGGATATTTAGTTATAAGCCAGTTGGGGCTATGTACCCAGTCTTGTCTCACACACACACACACACACACACACACACACACACACACACACACACACAGAGAGAGAGAGAGAGAGAGAGAGAGAGAGAGAGAGAGAGAGAGCAGGAGGGGGAGAGATAGGAAGAGAGTGGCTTTAAAATGACACCCAAATACCACATTGTAAATATTTACATATCAATTAGCAAGGAATAACCATTAACATTTACTCACTAGAGAGGGAAACAGAAGTATCTGGCTTAGTACAGGGATATATAGGCACACAGTATCTACTCTTTCTATCTCACTACAGGGAGACAGTAGGTACACAATGATAGCTACTCTTTCTAGCTCCTCAAAATTTCCTGCACAGAGCCCTCATATTTCAGATTCTACTACAAATTAGAGGTGTCTGCCTGTCTCTTCCACTTGTGCTCCAACAGGGGTGCCCCTTTGTCCTGTCTTTCCCTCTTTTAGTGGTCTACCCAGTGGCAGGTTCAGGGAAAGATTCTGACGGACACTTGAGGTGTTTTTGTGTCCCCTCCCCTGTAGAATGCCCAGTTTGCCCCATCTTCCAGGCCCAGGGGCATTTGAGCCTGTGGGCTACATCTCTGGAGTTCTGGTCACCTCTAGAGAGGCACCCACTCAGTATATACTAATGCTGTAGGCCTTACCTAAACCCACACAGACATCCACAGAAGTTTCCATTTCCCCAAACAGAAATGTTAATCAGAAGCTCATTTAAAAGAAAAAAAAAAAAAACCAAAAGCAGTTTCGATTTCAATTCTCCTTATGCTATGATCTCATTTTTCCTGTCACTGCTTACTCTGTCCTGGGGTACAGTGCCAGCTGCCATGAATCTGTGTATGAGGGATAATAGAAAGAGGCCTGGGTTCCTTTGTGAAGCAGTCCTTCAGGGCACTGGCTGGTGAATGTTTAAGGTAGCGAATGGCCCAGTGGGGAAGCATGCCATCATAGAAAAGAAGTGGTTCCCCTGTTCACTGCTGCTCTGGTCATAATAGCCAGAAATTGGAAACAACCTAGATGTCTCTCAACAGAGGAATGGATTTTTAAAAAATGTGGTACATTTATACAATGGAGTATTATCCAGCTTTAAATAAAAAATGACACTAAGAAATTTACAGGCAAATGGATGGAACCAGAGAAAAATAATCCTGAGTAAAGTAACCCAGACCCAGAGAGATAAATATGGTATGTATTCACTTATATCTGGATATTAGCCATTAAATAAATGATAACCAAGCTACAGTCCAGAAAAGGAAGGCATACAGGGACTGGGGAGAAAACATATGGATCTCCTTGGCAGGAAGGGCTGAAGCAGGGGGAGGGGAAGAGACCGGGGCATCAGGTGAGAAGGGGATGGGACTGAGAGGGAACGAGGGGAAAGACAGCTAGAACTGAATGACTTTGAGGGGTGCTATGTAAATGGTGCAGTGGAAACTTCCTGTAGTATATGAAGGCCATCTTAAGGAAGTCTCTAGATAATGAGGGATATGGAATCCCTATTGGCCAACTCTTGCTGACAAATGAAGCCTGCAGGGCCGGGACTGAGTTTCATCCAATGTAGTTTTTTGCCAAAAGGGTCCCATAGAAATCCCTAAACAATCCAGACTGTTGCCAAGACAACAGGTTGCTCTCCACAAACTGACAGCAAGGCACCATTGCTAAAGACAACACCCACAAAATTCATTGAACAAGGAGGAGCTGAGCTAGTGCTGACATAGAACCTTCACTCCCCAAGTTCTAATGTCTGACATAGAAAGGTACCAACCCAACTACAAAACCTTTGATCTACAAATGTCCTGGCTGTAGTGTGTGTGTGTGTGTGTGTGTGTGTGTGTGTGTGTGTGTGTGGCAATGGTGACACAAACCGGTACAAGGGCCTAGGAGAAAGGACTGGCACTAGCAGAAGACAAGCTGAGAGCTTATGGGTTGGTGTTTGTTTTTTTCTCTACAAGCCTCTCTAGGAGGCTTACACTCACTCCACTGATAGGGCCTTACACTGGGGCCCTATCAGTGGAGCAGAAGACAGAAGAGCCCAGAGCCAGGCCTTGAGCTAGATCTCTCTCATCAGCCAGGGAAGGGACAACCTCTGAGGGCAACAAGGGGGCTGCTCACTGTGGCTCTGACTCCTCCCCTGAACGAGTTAAGAGCCTCTCATCTTGTTCTCCAGTAAGTTAGTATTCGTGTTCATGTCCTACTTCCCAAATAAATCTGTTCCCTCACTATAAAAAGAAACAGAGAACAACCCACAGCTACCTCACCCTGACTTTAAGGGATGTGAGACACCCAGAAGGAAGAGCTTCAAACACCCCGAGAGCCTGTGTCAGCCTCTAGCCATGACCCTTGACCCTATCCCACCTCACAGCCAGCTGCCCTTCTCCATCACACACTGTAAATCCACATTTATTTGTCGGGTGCTCTTCAAGCCTCTAGTTAGCACAGAATAGCAGGGCTCTCCCACATGCTGCCCTGAGCCCAGCTCCTCAAGCATGCACGATGGAGCTGGGGAACGAGACCAGGTATCTTCAGGAGCAGACCCACTCACTGGAAAAACAAACTCTCCTCTGTCCTCTGTCCATGCCCTCCCCTCCTAGTCTGTTCTGGCTTGCCAGTAGCAAACTGGGGCCACCTGGCACCACTGCAGCAACTCCTTCTGGGGGGGCTGCCCTCTCTGCTCTTCCCTACTGTCTGACCTCCCTGGGTGTCACAGCCACGGTCCATACACTTTGGTCTTTCACACGGGTGACATACAGGCTGCTTCTGTGCCCCTTGTCGGTCCAGTCACGTTATCAGCTGGGTAGGGCAGGCTGGGCTGTCTGTCTTCACTCTGTAGCAAGCTCAGGACTAGGCTTTGTTGGGGATCGAATGAGCAAAGGCCTGTCCAGAGAACCATCGTAGTGAAAACGCAGGACACAGGACACCTGACTCAGCACTGACCAGCTGCAGATTTCTCCCAGCCTCCTGGTTGGACCTGAAACATCTTCTGGCTTCAATTTTCTGCGCCCCAGACCAATGCCTCCTATCCCAAGAGGCTTCTCTGGCTTGGCACCAGGTTCAGGGTTAGGTCATGGATGGACAACCAACACCGTTACTTCAAGGCCCTAAGGACAGCCTCCAGCTTCATGACCACAGCTAGGTCGCCCTTCACCTTCAGTCGCCCACTCATGTAGGCCCCCAGGGGCCGCAGTTCCCTGCACAGCAAGGCCTGTAGGTCTGCCTCAGCCATCTCCACCACCACATCAGGGATGCAATCAGGTGCTCCATGTCCCACTCTGCCTTGTCCTGTTGGGAGGTAGCATTGGCATCAGTAGGAGGATACATTGTGGGGAGAAGAGGGTAGCACATCCCACTGGGAACAGCAATCACTGGTTAGTTCAAGTTATAGAGCTGGGGGTGTGGCCTAGACTTAATCCCCATCCCCACACATACAGCAGGGGTAGGACAGGTCCTAATCAAAGGCTTCAGACCTTACTGACTGACTGACTTCTTGCTTCTCTTTACAAACTTACAAAAAGGGAATGAGCATCTTGCTTCCCAAGGTCACAGTGTTAAAGGTAGTGAGTGTCTGGTATGCAGTAGACCTGTTATGCATGAGGCTCATGGTTACCGGACCGAGCTGTACCGCTGCTCACAGGGAGACCAAAGCCTAGCTTGTCATTACTGGTTCATTCCAATCAGGAGGCAGGAGCAGGGGACAGTCTTTAATGGACCATGGAGGAGGGCACAAGCAACCTAAGTGGGAAGGGAAGGAGAGGGGACAGCCACACCTGCAGTAAGGTCCAGGAAGTAGATACTCTGGGTGCCACTGGGCAAGATGACGTTGAACTGATAGCAGGCCCCAACCTGGCTGACCAGTGCCTCTGACAGGAAAGGTTGCAGGGCAGTGAGAAGCCCCTCAGCCACAGGCTGCTTCGGGCTGGGCTCAGTGCCAGCCCCAGCATGACAGGCAGGTGGCTCCACTTCACTTATCATTTCCAAGGTGTCTCCTGGTGGCCACCAGGGTTGAGGAGGAGGAAGACAGAGAACAGTTCAGCGTTCAGTATTACTCTAAACCTTTTATGAAGCTTCTTCTTACAGCCCATCACGCCCTGTACAGTTGTCTCCTCTCCTGAGATGCCTCTAGACTACCAGCCAACATCCCTAAACCACGTCCAAGCACCTCTGGCCTGCAGCATGGCCCTCTTTCCAGCTACTCTTACAGGGGGCCTATAGCATTGTCTCACAGAGCTACCAGGGCCTCTACACACTTGCACACTTAGGCTCTTCTCCATGCCCTCACTCTGGCCAGCTCTAGAAATGGGGTAGAATGAACCAGCTGAGCGAGGGGACTAGGAGAAAAATCTGCCATATGATGAGCCACTGAGCACCCCACACTCCTTACCTGGCCCTGGGGATGGAGCACCTCCTACTGCTGAGTTCATGCTTCCACCCAGCAAGTGGAGGGCCAACTGTTGGAGGGTGCTGTCCAGGCTGGGCACAGCTGGGCTATCTTGGGGTGGCTGCAGCACAGCCTCCACTGCCAGCTCTACACGGTCCACTTCCAGTCCCCAAGCTCTGGTCACATCATTGATCTCCAGCTGCGGGCAGCGAAGGAAGAAACGGGAGTCATTTCGTAAGGTTTTTCTGAACACCTCTAGACGACTCATTATAGCCACATATGGATGTGAAGGTTCTCCCTGAAGTCTCTCCTGACAGTGAAGAGGCAACGTGATCAGAGAGCAAGGGGTGAGAGGCTGCAGGAAGGCAGTGTGGGGCCAAGAAGCTGTTGGCCAAAATGCAACTGGGGAAGAGCTGTGGAAGTGGCAGGCTAAGGAAGAGGTGAGAGGGGGGTCCACAGGCCCCACACATGGGAAAGGGAAGTGGGAAATGCACACTTGCTTGAACCTGGACTTGAGTGACATGTAACAGACATGTAATGCAGCTCCGGAGACTTCCTTTCAGTTCTGCTCTACCAGGAGATGTAGATGGACCCTGGGCAATGGACCCTCAGTGACTTTCGCATCCTAGATGGACTTCTCCCAAACTGCCCCTCTCACATCAAAGCAACACAACTTTGTTTAAGAGTAATTTTATCTTTTTAAAGGTGAATTGTAATGGGATGTGCTTTTATGAAGAATCTGGTAGTAGCATATTACCTGAGTTGTATTAGTTTGAACAGCGCATTGTGGGTAGGAGCAGATTGGTCTGGCTCTGGCCCAGAGTTGCTCTTTACCATAAATGGCTCTCAGAACCAAGTGGAATAACTTCTGGACCTTGGGCCCCCTCCTCTATTAAAATGACAAACACTGGCCCTCTCACAGAGAAAATGGGAAGCTGAGATGCTGTTGGGCAGGTACAAGTACTCTGTAAGCCATAAAATGCTGGGCCTGGGGCCAGTGGGCTCAGTGGTACAATGTGTCTAGGAGGCCCACAGCCCTGGGGTCCAACCCCAACTGGCATTGCCACAAAACAACAAAACAACCACAGTGCCATGAGGATCACTGTATGGCCAAAAGTAGTTTTTTAGTAGCAATTTCCTCATGCTCCAGTGGGGTGCTAGGTGAAGTTAAACAAGCACTAGGCCACGCATGAAAGGAAGTTATATGTGGGAGGGACATGCCACTGAACATGTAATAGACAGGAAAGAAGGTAAATTAGGTACATTCCAGTGTACCTAATTTCTCATAGATGTAGAGCAGGAACAGGAAAAAGATTCAAAAGCCCCATGTCTGTGTTCTGTTCCAAACAAGAAAATAAGTCCATAAAAATGCACGTGCAGGAATCCCAAGCATGTGACTGCACCGAGAGGGCCCTGATCCTCTCACCCACAAGAACAGAAACTGCAGAGGGCCCTAAGCCCAGGGCTGTGACCACAATGGCAGTGAAGGGTAAAACCTGGGCAGTCAGAAGCAGAGGCCCACGGATTTCCACTTCTTTTCAGAATGCATGTGCTCAAGATGTGTGACTTGGGTCGCCTCTGCTCCTCAACTTGAAGCCTCACCCGGATTCTTTTCAGGTGGTAATTTTGAGACATATAATGAGCCAAGACCCAGAGTAACGGTCCTTGTTCAAAGTGACCTGGCAGAGAAAGCCAGGACCTACTTCTAGACTCTGAGCTGCACCTTGTGAGAAGCCACCTACCAGGAGTTGATCACCAATCTTGAGCTTCTCCATCTGGATCTCCTGTAGTGGCCTCCTGAGTAGGGCCTTGGTCATGGCATTGTGGGCTGTCATTCGAGTGGCTGTGTTTAGGTCCTTCACAGCCATCACAGACAGCACTGGGTCCCAGATGCGGAACTGGACATCAGCTCCCACAGACAACACAGCCCCATCCTTAGAGGCCAACTGTTTCAGAAGACCACAACAGAGATGACATTATAAGGACCAGGGTCTACTGGGAGGTCATACCCATTGAGACTACCCAGCTTGACCCACCTGCCTGGCAACTAGCTCCTCAAAGACAAAATGGCATCTCCAAGTAGGTGGAGTCAGGTATGGCTCAAAACCCAGGTACACCCATAATTCACCATGCAGGACCCCATTTCTTCTGTGCAGGGCAGCTGAGAAGGCCCTCACCTTGCAAGGAGGAACATTGAAGGCTCGGGTCCTCAGATCCACTCTCTGGAAGGAGTCAATGAAGGGCAGCAGAAGAACCATGCCAGGCCCCTGGGGGGTACGAATCCGGCCCAGTCGAAACACGATCATTCTCTCATAGGTGGGCACAATCTGTTCATGATGGCAAAAGACAGGGTTTGGAAGTGGTTTGTCTAGGCTGGCCAATGTCATTTGCCAGATCCCTGTCTGATTAGACCCTCACTTCACCCTGCCAGTCAAATATCCTTTGGTGTGTATGATGTGTGTGAAGGCCAGAGGCAAACCTAGGCCACTTCCTATTTTCCCTTCTCTCTGCCACGAGGCACTGGCAAAACCACTGGGTAAAGCAACCAAGGGCTAACACTTCTGAGACTGAGAGCCAAACTAAGCCTGCCCTCTCAACTGTGTCTGTTGGATATTTTATCACAGTGACAAAAACACCAACACACTTAGATGTGTTAGATGAGAGAACTGAGGCTCACAGACACTGAACTCAGAGACATGCTCAGTGATCACACAGCCCCTCAAGTGAAATGGCTGTGATCAGAACAGTGTCCTCAGTAACAGGCCATGTCCTAATCACCGCAAGTACTGACTTGATCCAGAGAAACCTTACACCTGTGGCCTGAAGCTAATCATGACTCATTCCAGGGAACTGCTTGCTCTTGGATTAGGTGAGGGAAAAGCCTGGCTGCTCTAACAAATGCCCTGAGCAAACAGCTTTACCACTTTCAGATCCCTGGAGCCCTTCAAGAAATAGTTAAATCTAAATTGAGAACTAAAGGCAAGAGAGGCCAAGCCAACCATCCATGGTCACAGGGCATTTATTTCAGAGGCACTGTAGAAGTAGGATCTGGGTTCATCTTAGTGCTCCCCTCTAGACCACACAAACACAGAGGCTTTCTGTCTTCACCACCTAGGGCCATGCCAAGGAAAAGGCCTGCCTGGGCTTACCATCACTGGAGTTCTTGGGGTAGTGCTCAACTACAGCTCTATCTCTCCTCATTTCCTATAAGCACCACTGCTTATGTGAAATGAGGTCTGAGTTCTGCTGGGCAAGCTGAGTGCTTTTCTTTCAAATGGACCTGGGCAAAAGGTCCAATTGGCAAAGGTATATGTCTAGATTCAGGACTCATAAAACTTATTTCTACTCCTTACTGGTTCCCAGGATGACTTTGGTTAAATGTGGACCTCAGTTTATTCATCGGAGGAGTGGGAACTATCCTAGTTTCTCCTGTAGCTGTCATAAACACTATGGTCAAGAGAAACTTGGGGAGAAAAGAGTTCATTTGGTATACAGGCTACAGAACACCACTGAACGAAGCTAAAACCGGAACTAAAGCAGGAAACTGGAGGCAGAGTTGAAGCAGAGGCCTGGGGGGAATGATGGAACAGCCCTTACTAGCTTACCCCATCTCATCTGCTGGCTCAGCAAGCTCGAGCCCAAATGTCTAGGGATGGTACTAGAGGGGGCTGGGCCCTCCTACACTACTCAGCAATTAAAATGCCCCCAAAGACATGGCCACTGACCATTTGATGGAGATACTCCCTTAATAGAGGTCAAGTTGATAGCTGCTGGACATGATGAGCCTTCAAAACTTAAACAACCCTAACCTTGCCTGTTTCATAGAGGTGGGATGATATTTAGAGGCAAGGGGATAAATACGGGGAATCCATTCATCAATGCCAACCCTTTCACTATGTCTCCCGACTCCCCAACAGCATCCAGCCAGCCTTACCTTGAGAGCAAACCAACCAGAAATAGGGAAGGTGAGCAGCAGAAGCAAGAACCCCAGGAAACTGATGAGGCCATGGCAGAGACAGGAGGGCCAGCTCTCAGGTGCATCTGGGGACAAAAGAGCAGAAGCAACCACAAAATACCAGATGGGCCTGGCAAGACAACTTCAAGTACAGTGTCTCATGAGTACAGTAGGCCATGCCAAAGTTTTGCCTGTCTTCTGCTTTGGAGGTTCCCCATAGCTAGTTTGGGACCACCTATCATAACTAACTGGTTTCAAGTGCAACACCCCACACAAGGCTTTTCTCTCCTAGGAAAGAGGCACCGAATCTGAGAACACAATCCATGTGACGTTGTTTTTGCTGGACATAGCAGGAATCAACAACTCCTTGTCTAATGTGTATTGTCCATGTAAACCTGGAAGAGAACACTTATACTGGGCAGAACTAACACTGCTGCTGTTAAGCCATTCCTCTTCTACCAGAAGTATACTTTCAAGGGGTCCTTATGGAGAAAAGGCCTCAACGGAAAAGGTCAAAACGGTAATTGTTCATCAATAGGAGTCACAGTGAGACTAAAGTGTCCCTTTCTAGTTTAGTCCTTACTCTCATTTTAGTACACTAGTTTTTAAAATGTCTATCTCCATTCAAGCTGTTTGGAGGGACAAGCTGGGAGGACGAGGCTAAAGAAAAAGATTCTAACCCTTGGAGAACCAAGAATCAAAAACGGTGCTAAGCAGACAGCCCCACGGTCTAGGGTGAGCTTGCTGTCTGCTTTCTTCCAAGCCCTAGACAGGAAGGCATTTTGATAGACTATCCGTTCAATCCTTCAGGGAGCACCTGCCTGCAGGGCTTTCTAAGTTCCAAACTTTGACCTCTTCAGGAAAGGAATCTCTGGTCAGAGACAATCCTAAGTGCAGGGGGCAGAATATGGGAAATTCATTTATCAATGCCAAAGCGTTCAATGTACTATCAATACAGAAGAACCATAAAGGGCCCAAATACTTCAAGGTCAGGCTGAGAAGTATGAGCCAAAGGAGCCACAGAAGGCTCTGGAGTAAGAAACAGCCAAAGCAAACAACCCGGGGAGCTTGCAGGCCTGCCTTTTTGTTCTGTGCGTCTTCATCAGCACACAGGAGACTCCTGGTCCCTGCGCAGCTACCCTGGGGTAATTGTTTTTCCATTTCTCGCAGGTGCTTTTAGGTTGGTCGTGGCCTCCTCCGCCTAGGACTCTGTTTTCTTTTTATGCACGATGGGCTATCCTGAAAACCGTAACATGATGAGCTGAGGTTCGGGAAGGTGGGGCTACGCTGGTTCTGAATCTGCAGCTGGTGGCCCTAGGGAGGACAAACAGCAGCATCCCAACGCATTCTTTGGCACCCTCTCCACATCCTATTCCCTTCACATTCTCTCCTCCTAAAGGCAGGGAGTACAGGTCTGGGGGTACTGGCAGTCCCTCTACGGTTCGCCGTGCTGGGCAGCCACTCACCGGCCCCTGGCCCCACGCCGCTCGGCTCTGGGGACAAGCAGCCCTTCTGCGAACCCACAAAGCCGAAACTTGACTGCTGGAAACGATCAAAATCCCCTAAGGGCAGCGCCCGATAGCCAGACCTGCCGAACATGACTTCAGACCACGGACACGCCCCACGCCTCCACCGGGCGCCAGTCCTGCCCAGCCCGCTGCAGCCCCGCCCCGCCCCGCCTCACCCCCCGCCGCTTCCGGCTTCACTTTCAACGCCAAAGACAGTGGCTGCTTAGGAGCAGGAAGCAGGCCGGGTCCTCACCCATGTCTCACAGCGCCTCCTCCACTGGGAGGACCGAACTGCAGTCGCACAGTTTGGGCAATTGGCTTGGTTCTAATCTAGAGCTTCTTGAAGGGGCCTGGCCACCTGGGCTACCTCTTTCCTGATCTTTTGCCTGGCCTTAAGAAAGGAGGAGAGGCTTTAAAAAAAAGCATTACAGGAGCCTTTTCTCCAGAATCAAGGAAATGTCATCTGCCTCACATCACTCCTCCAAACTCAGCACACAGATGGATGTGTTTTATCCAGATTTAGGCTTTCTCCTGGATATGTTTGGTAGATTGGTTTTTGTTACCCCACAGTGCAGAAAACATAGCCTGTCATTCAGAGCTCTGTACTTTCTTCCTTAATGATGACAGATACAAGTCACTGTGGACAAGGTGAAGTCAGAAGGCCTGAACTTTGGTATAAAAGAAATTCCACATTCAAACGCCTTAGGAAGCTTAGCAGTATGTGGTGCTGGTGCTGGTGCTGGATGTAGCACAGAGATATAAGATGGCAGAATTATCACATCATTACATCAGACCCTTTGATCTAGGTACCTGAGGTAACTTGTCTTTTCATGGCTTTAGAAAGTCCAAAGGAAGGAGAAAATATACTCCAACAGGATCCTGGGGAGGCTGCCAGGAAGCCATTTTATAAAGCCAACCAAGAATGAAACTTTCCCAATCTTGCCTCCCTAGATCCTTGCCATAGCCCATTTCCAAGTCTCTCTGCTTATGACTGCTGTGCTGACTAATTTTATGTCAACTTGACACAGTATAGGGTCATCAGAGAGGAGGAAACTGCAATTGAGAAAATATCTCCATAAGATTGGACTGTAGACAAGCTGTAGAACGTTTTCTTAATTAAGGATTGATGTGGGAGGGCCCATCCCATTGTGAATTCTATAAGGAAGCAGGATGAGCAAGCCATGGGGAGCAAGCCATTAAGCAGCACCCCTTCATGGTCTCTGCATCAGGCCCTGCCTCTAGGATCTTGCCCTGTTTGAGTCCCTGTCCTGGCTTCCTTCATCGATGGATCACAATGTGACAGTGTAAGCAGAATAAACCCTTTCTTTCCCAATTTGCTTTTTGGTTATGGTGTTTATCACAACAATAAAAACCATAAGACAAGTTGGTACCAGGACTGGGGTTTTAGTTAATTCCAGATGTAGTCATGTTGATAACCAAGAATAGCCATCATAATTCAACTTGTTGTCAACTTGACACACAATCATGTCTCCTTATGTTGTGATTAATTTCCAAATTAAAACAATAAGTAGATCACAGTAATGCCTAAGCATAACGTAACTATCCCACATACAATTGCAAATACCTTATATATTTAACAATGTCATAATTACACCTAGCCACCTAACATAACTATCCCTCATACAACTGCAAATGCATTATAAATTTAGAATAGGTGGCAATGTTCCTTGAGGGATATTCTTTAAGTAACTCAAACTTAAATATAACCATTGATATTTTCTTAATTGATATTAGATTGCATGATAAAGAAATCGAGGAAAGAAAACACAAATAGTTTTACAAACAGATTCTTAAAAAATATGACAGAAACATATTCCCACTACATTTTATTGTTCTTAGTTTGATGGGTTAATTGTAGAGGCCAAGGAATACAGGTCAGCCTGGAGGTATGTGACACTTTCAAGGCCTCTCATAGACTCTAGGATGTTGGATCTCCCTTCAGCACCCTCTCACCCCAACTCTAAGTTTACAAAAGCAGGGACCTGTCACCATCCATTCTGATCTGTTTCATATAGAAACAGCATAGGATGGATGTACATAGGAGCCAGAAAAACTGGGTGGGAATAGATGAAGTTGGAAGTCAAAGGCACTGGTCAGTGAGACTACCTACAGGTATGCCTTTTCCCTCACCCACTGGGTTCTGAATTTCTTTTCACTGGCCAAGAGCTAACTTTCTAACTCCTTGTCCTCTCCACTGCTTCTGGCAAGTTCCCCCCCCCCGCTTCCCTGCTTTCCACCACTCACATTCACCAGACCCACTGCCACTCAAGGCATCATCCTGTTCTGTCTTTCAATGTCCTCCCACCTGACTCAGGTCCTTCTCTGCATCCCACAGCCACTTCTCATAAGCCTCCTGTCTCAAGGCCATCAGAGAGACACAGCTGACACCATGTACCAAATCCTGCACCAATTCTCGGATCATATACAGAACTGGCCAATCTCCCGCCTTATGATCAATCTCCTCTTCTCAGGAATAATTGTTCAGGAGCTCCCCCTCAAATCTGAAATCCCAAACAGGCTCTCCTGTTTCAGACCTCCACTCCCTTCCAGGTGCTCATCTCTCTTTAAAGTGTCTCCGCAACAGTGAATCCTGGTGACATTTTACCGTATGCTCCGTTGTTAACTGAGGGATGACTTTCCAGGCAGACCCATCCAAGGTCTTCATTTGGGATGACTTGGGGGGTCCTCTTAAAGTGGGATGTATTTCTTAATAAAGAAATAGCCTCTCAAAGAGGGGTTCTTAACTAGGGATACACAAAACTATGCGATGAGCTGAACAGTTCACAGACAGACCTGGAAAAGGGAAATGCCTCTGTCAGCTTTGCATCTCTCCTAGAAAGCATATTGTGTGCATGGCAGGATCTTTCCTCGTAGAGCAGTCAAACTCGCGATCTTTCTGCTTACAGAGCTAAGCCATCACGCTGGGCTTACTTGTTTGCTTGTTTGGTTAACCTCTGTGGTTCTACCCGAGGTGGCTCCAAAGTTCCCCAGTCTTTCTCTTCTAACTCCCGAAGGGTGACTTCAGAACCAGCCTCTCCGCCCCTAGACCCGCCCCTGTCCTGTCTCACTTCCTCTCGAGGGGCGGGTCCTCGGCGGGTACCTCCCCGCTAGACAGCTCAGGCTGCTCAGTTTTCTGGCATAAGTCTGGGATTCACTTCCCGCCCTGACAGACTCAATCCAGAAATCGAAACTGCGCCGGTATCCATGCAGAAGGCGCCCGTATCCTTTGGATCTCCCTTTCTCCAACAGGAACTCCTCCTGACCCCTAGGCCCACCATGCCTTCCCCGGAGGACCCCTCTGAAGACCATGAACATAGCCAGAGCCCCGCGGAGGTACTACTGGGTTAAGCGATGGAGGGCTGTTAGGATTTTATTTGTTTACTTTGGTGGGGGAGTTGAGAATGAAGAAGGTTTTTATAGAGAGGGTAACTTAGTGTCCTAGAGAGACACCAAGGTCCTGACCCTCCTGTCTGGGCAGAGGTAGGACGGATAGCATAGAATAAAAAGAGTAACCAGGATGAGTTAGGGGAGCCATGGGGAGGGATAGTTGGGTTGTAATGAGATGGGCCACTCCTACCCCCTAGAGCCTTGTCTTTTGGCTTCTACCTCAGATGAAAAACATCCAGAGAGAAGGCCAGGCCAGGAGTCTCCTTTGCTCTAGCCTGGAGCTAAAGGCATGCCCCAAACAAGACAAAATCATTTACACCCCTCACCCGCAGCTGTGGTAGCACATGCCAGGAGCAACAGTACTCCAGATACAGGTGCTGGAGGATGGTGATAAGTTCCAGGCCAGCCTTTTCTACAAAGAGCATTCAAGACTGCTAAAGGCAATACAACAGGACCCTGTTTCAAAACAATACAAAAGAAACATATAAAACTTGGCCTCGATAAAAGTGTTGTCATGGCTAAAACCAAGGGGACTCATGGGACTTCTCTCACTTTTGATTTTCATAGATTTATTTTATGTGTATGAGGTTTGGGGAATTTTTGTTGTTTCATTTTCCTGAGATAGGGCCTCACTACATAGTCTTAGCAGGGCTGGAGCTTACTGTGTCAACCAGGCTGGCCTGAAACTCATAGAACCACCTGTGTTTAGCTTCTGAGTGCTGGTATTAAAGGTGTGGGTCACCATGCCTTTCTCTTGTCACTTCTCTTAAGGAAGCTTAGTTCTCGGTCCTCCTGGAAGTTTTACCTCAACCTGCCATACTTATCTCCAAAGAAACTACTGCTATCCCTTTAGTCTTTATTGTTTTTCCTGCATTCCCCTTAACACAAGCTCAAATAATACCACATTACCATAACTTTTTAATTATTAGCATTATATAACTAAGGATTAACAATATTAGTTAATATTTATGGGTATTTCTCATGTGCCAGGCACGATATTGAGCACTTTGTACCCTTTAAACAATAGCTGTGCTTTCTGTTTCTATGAACTTAACTATTATTAATATGTCATATAAATGGAATTGCACAATATTTCTCACTTTATGGGAGACATATTTCACTTACCAAAATGCCTTCAAGGTTCACCCACATTGTTTCATGTAATCAGAATTTCATTCCTTTTAAAAGTTAACGATATTCCATTACATGTGCAGACACATTTTGTTCATGCATCCATGTGCTAATCAACACTTGGGTGGCTGTGACTATTCTGATTAGTGCTGCTGGGCACATTAGTATATAAATATCTGCTTGGAATTTTCCCCCAGTTTTTCTGGGTATATATGAAAGGTGGAAGTTCTGATCATATGGTAGTTCTATGTCTAACTTTTGGAGGACCATAAGCATTTTAAATGAGGTTGGTACTTTAGTGTGTCCCTTTCCAAGGGACTTGGGTCCCTTGAAGGTAAAGATGTATCCAGTCTTGTATATCAGGGCCTATTAGTGAGTTTAGTGGTAAGTAGATGGGGCCCTGTAAATTTTGCAGTGAGAGTTGCAAGGCCTGAATAAATGAGGAACTGGGGTGCCGATAAGCCAGAGCATGACCCAATGACTCCCTGGAATGGAATGCGAGGTCCTACCCTTCCCAACTTCTAGAGGCCAGTGGTGGAGGAGGAGGAGCGGGACTCCTGCACTTTCTGTAGGCCTCATTTCCCTCTTTGATTCACCAGCAAGCCATGAAGGAAGAATTCCAGTTTCTGCGCTGCCCGGGCTGCCAGGCCCAAGCCAAGTGCCCCAAGCTGCTGCCTTGCCTGCACACACTGTGCTCTGGATGCCTGGAAGCGCCAGGCTTGCAGTGCCCCATCTGCCAGGCGCCTGGGGCCAGCGCTAATGCAGAAGCCCTGGATAACGTGTTCTTCGAGAGCTTGCAGCGGCGCCTGGCGGTGTTCCGACAGATTGTGGATGCGCAGGCTGTGTGCACCCGTTGCAGAGAGTCCGCTGACTTCTGGTGTTTTGAGTGTGAGCAACTCATGTGCCGCAAGTGCTTCGATGCGCACCAGTGGTACCTCAAGCATGAGGCTCGGCCCCTGGCCGAGCTCCGCGACAACTCAGTTCGCGAATTCCTCGATGGTACTCGCAAGTCCAACATCTTTTGCTCCAATTCCAACCACCGCAACCCTGCGCAGACCAAGTGAGTGGAGCATCTTGGAGCCAGGGGTGGGAGCTCAGGGAACTTCTCCTTCAACATGGGGTCCACTGGCTTGTAGTCGTTTGTAATGCTCCTCTGAAATATATATATGGTGCTACAGAATCATTCTTGCACCTTTACCTAGGGTATCTTTAGTACAATTTTTTTTTTTTTTCAGAGTGCCATAGCAAGTGAGATGCAAAAAACAGTACATTTTAGTACAGGCCACCAAATTTTAGATGTCTTAAGAATGGATTTTTCCTCTGGGGCCCCATGGAATCTCAGAAAGGTGTTAAGATAAGGGGCAAATAAATGGTGTCTGGAAAGTCGAAACTCTGTCATCAGGGAATGCTGTGTGAAATTATCTATATGAAAAGAACAAAGAAAAAGAACAGAAAATTCACTTATAATTATTTCTGTTAAACAGAATGTTTTAATTTTATATTTATATAGCAGAATATATTTTAGCCGATAAGGTAGTATATGATAAATGAACTTCTGACCACTCCGAAGTGGACTGCTTGCATTCGCTTCTGCCTAACAGGGCTAGCAGTCCCTGGGAACAACAGAAAGTACTTCCTCATTTGGGAACACATCTTGACCTACAGACTGTGTAATCCAGGAGCTTGCTTCCTTCCTGAGTCTCTGAGGAGTCCTGCCCCTTTGCTGGATTCCTCATCGTATATTGCTGCTTACTTTGCTTTCATGGTGCACTGTTAAGATCAAAAGACTTTCTGTCTGTTTATTGGCCCCTGTATTTCTTCCTTTGTGAATTGCTAGTTTGGAGCCCTGTTTGCTTTTCCTTTGAGTTGTTTGTCCCTCTGTAAGAATCTGTTGCAGTGTTGTTTCACTTAGTATGTGGTATCATGTTTGAAATAACTCTTTAGCATTAGGCAATAAGTCTCTCTCTTGATGGTGTAAAATTTTGACACAGTCGGAGGAAGAGACACTGCCTATGTTAAAACAATCTATATATTCTATGGTCTTTTAGTATGACGAATTAAATGTCTTTTTTTTTTTTTTTGGACTGGATTTTGGTTCTTAGGAGGAAAAACTCAACTTGGATTTTGATATACTATTAATTTTATTCCTAGCTAGATCACATTTTGAAATATTTTAATTAGGCTATTTTCTGTAATCATAAGTATAATCACTTTAGTATGAAGTATGTATGGTTTTTTTGTATTATGTTTTCTTGTCTGTTTTATACTAACCTCTTTAATTTGTAATCTTTCCTTTCTTTGAGCATGATAATATAGTCCTTCATAATATAGGAGATTATTGATTTCCCCAGGCCTCCAGAGAAGTGCTTATCTTTCTACAAACTCTAAGACATTTCAAGATTACTCATAAGCCAGGGTGTCTTTAATACCAGCCCCGGGGTAGCAGAGGCAGGCAGATCTTTGTGAGTTTGAGAACAATTTAGTCTACAAGCACGTTCCAGCCTAGCCAGTGCTACATAGTGAGACCCTGCCATTTAAAAAAAAATTATTTATAATGCTAAAATATAAATGTCACATAAATGATTTTTTATTTAATATTGGGAATATGATTTTTAAAAGGCTGTAGAAATACTATATAAGTTGTGTGTGTGTATTCACATGTACATAAAAGTGCATGTGTGTGCTCATGTATGTGGAGACGAGCAGACAATTTTGTATGTTCTTCTTTTTATTTTTATTTTTTAAACTAGTGGTTATGGAAAAACTTTTGCTTTCAACCCTAGTGCCATAAATAACCCTCAATTTCCCTTTGGCCACAAGTCAAAATAAACCACCCTGGCCTTTGTCATTGAGCTGGCTTGTAATTCATCCTGGGGAGCAGCACAAAAGGTGGCTTTAAACTTTGGTTAGGGTCTGCCCTCAGGTCACTGGTGTTTGATCACCATGCCCGTGGAGTGGGTTGTTCCAGCCAGCCATTTGCCATGCTTGTAATATACTGTGTTCTCTATTAGTATTGGTGTCTGAGTACAAACAGGCCCAGCCTTGCCTTCTTGGGTATCTGTGGGGTGGACAAACAGAGCCAGCAGTGAGCAGCAAAGGCTGCAGAGTGACAAGGTAGGGAGCCTGTCTCACTAACCACCCTCCGTGCCTGTGTTTTCACAGTGACTCTCATTACACCGTCTCTTCTGTGATGTTCTCTTGGCACTGTTGCCTGCGCAAGACACAGATATCTAATATCTAATAGAAGGAAGAAGGAAGGAAGGCATAAAGGTCTAGATTGCAGAAAAACACCTGCCCAGCCTGAATGGACAGAAGCAGTACTCCTAGGAAGGAAGGAAAAGTCAGAAAGGGGAAGGCTCTGTGTGCAAGATAGAGAGAGCACTAGAGAATCCGTGAGTCTTAGAAATTTCACTATACTGGGGCTGGAGCGATGACTCAGAGGTTAAGAGCACCGACTGCTCTTCCAGAGGACCTGAGCTCAATTCCCAGCAACCATATGGTGACTCACGACCATCTGAAATGAGATCTGGTGTCCTCTTCTGGTGTGCAGGCACACATGCAGGCAGAGCACTTGTATACATAATAAATAATAAATCTTAAAAAGAAGAAAAAGAGGCATTGCACTATACAGGGATAGGAAAGGTGAGTTGGGGTCAGACACAAGGAGCTCAGGAGAAGTTGTGATGTTATTGCACACTTTCCAGAACATTCAACCTGCTCAGCTTACTCCTGTTTTCCATATACACACTCATGTCTTGTCATTTAGAACCCTATAGAGTGCTAATGAGACAGTGGAGTGCACTTTTGGAAACTCACTGCTTGAAGTCATGGCTAGACCCTCTCCCTGCCCTCTGGTTCTTTGTCTCAAGTGGGCAACTCTGATAACTGTTAGGCCCATATTTATTTATTCAGCTGCATTCTTATTTCTGTTTCACTCCCGTTCATAAGAATTTTGACAGTGTGTATTTCATATGTTGGGTATGCTCAGAAACTGAAGTATAGAATCTGGAGGGAAAAGGAAGCCCCCTTAGGAAATTAAGGTCTGTGAGAAGGGGGAGAGGAGGAGAAAGACTGGAGCCACTCCGACAGAACCTCTGGGACCTGGGGGCTCACCGGAGAGGCCTTTCACCTACGAGTGATAGGGATCTAGGTCTCTCAGTGTCTGGATATTTGAGCCTAAAGTTTGGTGGATTGGGGTAAAGGAATTCATCCAGGGCTATCAAAGCCTGTAGGCAGGTACTATAGCTGTATGGAGAAAGTGGAATACCTATTCATCAAACTAAAGAAGTGTAATGGAGGCCGGGCAAGGGTGGCACACGTCTTTAATCCCAGCGTTGGGATTTAACTCACTCTGTGAGTTTGAGATCAGCTTGGTCTACAGACCAGGACAGCCAGGGCTACACAGAGAAACCCTGTCACAAACAAACAAACAAAAAGAAGTGTGATAGGATCCGAAGCCAGTTGGAAAGTCTCCAAGATAAGAAGCTGGAATGGTTGGCAACAGGTGACAGAAAGGCAGCTCCAGGCAGGAACCAATGACATCCATTAGCAAAGCTGTGACAATGCAGGGAAGAGCTGGGATGCTGCTGAAGGGGCATGCTGATGGTTCCACTTGGCGTTGGGACCGTGGTGAGGCAAGCCGGTGCCAGGAGTACAAACTTGAAGGAGACCCTTACATGCCTGGCCCGCATTAATCCTCTGGGAGAAGCTACCTAGCTTTGCGCCCTGGATGCCTTGCTGCCACTTGCTTACCAGCCCTGCCTGTCCCCACCCTCCCACCCACCTTGTGCAATTTTTAGCGCATTGCATCTTCTTGGGGCTTATGATGTTCCTGAGATTGATTTCTGGCCAGGGAGAAGCACGGGCACATGGCAGAAGGCTGCTGCCAGCAGCTGGGAAACATAGCAGAAAGGATAGTAAATGACTCCTTTCTCAGTTTTTAAATGCACTCACCCAGGAAACTTGGTTTCAGACCCAGGAATAACCATGCTGCACTTGGTAGGATATTATGTGTATAAAAGAGATTTCCCTCACACACCTGGCCCTTGTGATGTTTCAGAAACAAAAATAAGGAATTGAACATAACTAAGGCAAGATCAGCCTTAGGGTGTTAGTCCCTGGAAAGGCCGGGCTCTCGTCTCCAGCTGTGGCACTGAGCTTAGCAGGGAGACTCTGGACAGTGTAGAAGAATGGTTAGCAGTGAGATTTAAAGGTAGCAGGCTTTTCCCATTGATTCCTAAGTAATAAAATGAAGCTAACTGGAACCACATCTGTGTGTCTGTCCATCTGCCACTGAATAATCAGTTAGGGAGACAACAGTTTACTTCATGCTGGGCATCGAAACAGCTGTTGCCCAGCAAGTGAGAACTGGTGTCGGAAGGCTGTGTTGGGTACACACAGTACAGTGCACCCTGGTGAGGAGACAGCTTCAGTTGCACTGCCAGGCAGGTTGAAGGAGGGAGATCTTGTATCTGACTGTGAGGACAATGAGAGGCAGCTTTAAATCCATACTTTGGAGAGCTTTGTTTGGTCCCATGGAAAACAATTTGTAAAAATGAGTGAGACATCTTTAGCTTCTGGACTGTAAAATGGTTGATAGCTCATATAAGCCAGGAAAAGTGGTCCAGCGCCTGACACCCCCCCACCCACCCAGCCTGATTCTGCCAATGCCTCTACATTTACAAAGGGCTCTTTCCCCAGGGATGCCATAGATTTTCAAGAGCTAAGGAAGTTACATACAGTTAGCCTTGAGTCCCGGGGGATGGGGTGGGGGCAACGAATTGAAAGCTGAGTCTCAGTATTGTCACCAGTGGATTAAGTACTCTCCTTGAAAAGCTGCTCAGAATGCTAGGGGCCTTTCAGCCTGGCCTATGCCAAAGTCAAGCTTTCTCAAAGCTCATGGGTGTGTCTTCCTTAAAAGGAAATCTGATTTCATGCTGGTGTTAGGAGGGGGAAGTCCTTCAATGTGCCTCAGAAAAATGGCTACTGCAAAGGGATCAAAGAAAATAAAACGCCAGGTATGAGCAGAAATGAGGGCAAAGGACAGATTTGTAGCCAGTA